TTAATGGGTGGGATAGAAGAGGTTAAAGAGAATGACTTCAAGAGTATTTTTAAGTTAAACTTTGTCCCATATTTCATTGCCTTGAAAATAAGTATTCGTTTAGGACAAGAGAGCAACATTTGGAAAGTACCTTTTTTTTTTTTTTTTAATAGAGACTATTCCAGAACCAGAGGTGCTGTTGATAGGAGATCACTTAGGGAGCCTTCCTAGGTTAAAGTGCACACGAACATTGTGTGAATAATCAGTCTGTTGTCTCTCAACGCCAATTTATCCTTCACTGCCTGCTCTGCAAAAATTCAGACAGAATCCTTAAATATTCTTCCTTTGCCAGCTGGCATGATGTTATGTGTTGTCAGTAGCAGGTGCAGGAGGAAGGGGCTTCCCTTCCTGTTACAGTTGCTCTTCTTGGTGGGCTCCTGTAGCCCCCATGTCTTCTCCAGCATCCCGCTTCTGTAGTGCTGAGCACTTATCCAAGGCCAGGCTCCTGCAATACACATAGCACCCAAGCCAACAGCTTCCTCTGGCACTCTCTGGTAAGGTCAGAATCTCAGCCTGGAGAGGGAGAACCCCTTCTTTGGGTGCTCCCTCTCAGCCTTAAGGGGAGTGGCTCCTCCTCATACCTACTTTTCCCACCTTCATTTTTTTTTAAAATTATGTGTTTATTTAAGTAATGTATGCACCCAGCGTGAAACTCGAACTCAGGACCCCAAGATCAAGAGTCACATGCTCTACTGACTGAACCAGTCAGATGTCCCTGCTTTTTTAATATTCTTTAGCTTTCTTTTCACTTTTTTTTTTTAAGATTTTATTTATTTGATGGAGAGGGAGAAGAGAGCACAAGCAGGGGGAGGAACAGAGGGAAAGGGAAAAGCAGGATCCCTGCTGAGCAGAGACACCCCCCCCCCAACAGATGTGGGGCTGGATCCCAGGACCGCTGGGCCATTACCTGAGTTGAAGGCAGATGCTTAACCGACTGAGCCCCAGGTGCCCTCTTCTTTTGACTTCTTACTATCCAAAATCCCTCCCTACGGCATATAGGGAGGGATACGGCATATCTTGCTATAATTAATAATTCTTTGTATTAAACTTAACTCTATTCAAATTACTGTGTGGTTTTGTGTCTTGATTGAATCCTAACTCATAAAGCCATCTCCAAATTTTGCTGTTGTGATTCTCTCAATTTTGAGCATTCAACAGCCCATCTATATTTGTCAACAAAGGGCTCCTGGTGGTTGACCAGAGATTGCTGGTCTGACCATGTTTGTAATTATATTGCGAAAGGATTGAAACCAATGCTGCAAAACTCCCAAATACCTAGAATCTGGTTTTTTACTTCTATTCAACTTTAAACACTTTATGATTTTAAATGTTTCAAAATAGAACTTATAGGGATATTTTCATTTTTTTCCTGAAAAATAAGTTTATGTGTAAATCTAAAGCAACTTACATTGGAGTCTTTATACTTAAACACTGTGCTACCTTCCACAATACAAACAGGCAAAGTTTGAGATGTAATATATTTAAAGCAAAAACTATAAATTCAATATTTCAAATATGAGACAGGAGTTTAGTAGATTGCAGACCAAGGATAGCTTCTGACAGAAATGAGTACTTCTTTCAGCGGCATGTGATAATGTTGATCCTTTCTTTCTTTTTTTTTTTCAATTGCCCTAACGCTCCTGTTTTTTCATTCCTTCTCAATTTCCTTTACAGGTTCCTCTATCTCTACCTAGCCTTTAAAATGGGGGGGCACCTGGGTGGCTCAGTGGGTTAAGCCGCTGCCTTCGGCTCAGGTCGTGATCTCAGGGTCATGATCTCAGGGTCCTGGGATCAAGTCCCGCATCGGGCTCTCTGCTCAGCAGGGAGCCTGCTTCCCTCCCCCTCTCTCTATCTCTCTCTCTGCCTGCCTCTCCGTCTACTTGTGATCTCTCTCTGTTAAATAAATAAATAAAATCTTTTAAAAAAAAATGTCAGTGTTGGGGTGCCTGGGTGGTTCAGTTGGTTAAGCATATGACTTTGGCTCTGGTCATGATCTCAGAGTCCTGGCATAGAGTCCCTCCCCACCCCACCCCACCCCAGCCGGAGCCCTCAGTTGAGCTCCGTGGGAAGTCTGCTTGTCCTTCTTCTCTCTCTGCCCCTCCTCCACCCTGCTCGCTTATGCTCTCTCTCTCTCAAATAAATAAAGCCAATAAAAATAAAATAAAATGAAATAAAATAAAATATCAGTGTTTCCTTGTTTTCTTCCTTGGCTTTCATTTCTCATTGATCCTGGGTAGTTTATCCATTTTTAGGTAATGCCTCCTTCATTTATATCTGCAACCTAGGCCGGTCCCCTGAGCTCAAAATTCAATTATGTGATTCAGCCTCTAGTCTGGGAGTCAGATTAGTCTCTGGGCCAAATTCGGTACACTGCCTGCTTTTATAAAATAAAGTTTTATTGGAATACAGCCGTACCCACTTCTTTACATATTGTCTATGACTGATTTCCTACTACAATGACAGAGTTGAGTAGTTGTGACAGAGGACACAAGGGCCTGTGAAACCTATAATATTTATTATCTGGCCCGCCACAGAAAAAGTTTGTTGACCCTAAGATGTGCTTTCTACTGAGTTTAGGCATGACTGGGCATGACAGGGCATGACTGGCCCACCAACAATAGATGTACCTGAATTTCTCTGTATGAAAGAGGGAGTGAAGATGAACTCTGGGATTCATAACCAAGTGTCATGGATAAAGACTATAACAGCAAAGTGAAGGGATATTTTTGTTAGGATTCTGTCATACTGGAGGCATAAGGAATATCATGCACAATTCTCATTGCTGTAGAATCACATAGAGAATATTTAAAGACAAATTTCCAGACCTCATTCTCAACAATCCTGACTCAGTAAATCCGGGGAGGGATTTGGGAATCTGAAATTTTAGAATGCCCTCCAAGTAATTCTGGTATGTAGCAAGTAAGTAGTCAGAATTTGGAAGTCAAGTCAATCTAAAAATCCACTGCTGGGTAAGATGGTCTTTTTATTCTTGATGAATCATTAAAAAGAGGCCAATTAGTTTCTCTTGATTTACATATTATTTCTGAGTCTCTAGCTTTAGGAAATTACAATAAAGAAGTCAAAATCTCTCAGCAGTGGTTTTGCTCAACCACTCTCGTTGCACTAGGTTTATATAAAGAAAACTCTACATTTCCATATTGACTGATAGTGTAAGACCCAATTTGCTTTGTCATAGAACTAGCTTAGGCTTTATCACACTCAACAAACCCCTATCAATCCTGTCATCCCAGGGCCACTTCCAGTCTGTTTATTCATGCATTCATTCAACAGCAACAAAAAATTCTGAACACTTGCCAGTCACTGTTAGGTACCAGAGGATATAGCAGTGAACTGGATACAATTCCTACTGCATGGAGCTTACATTCTAGCTGCTGGGGATGGGGAGGGGTGGGGAGGAGGATGGGCTTCTCTTTAGACTTGCCTCCTGTACAAAATTTTCCCCAGCCTATCCTAGTCTGGATCTTCCAATGAGAAATTTTCTCAAAACTTAATAGAGAAAGGGTAAAATTTGTTCCCTGGACACACCCTATCCTTTTAAAGCCAATTCTGAGGCTTTGGTGCTTGCCTGTTATGTAGTTGCTAAGACTATCCATTGGCTTCGTTTACTTCTGTTCTTTCTGATACTGTATGTGTAGCTGAGTGAGTTTTGAGTCTAGTCTCAGGAGGGATGACACTCCTTTTGGAGTTAGTCCTCATATGATTAATGAGTACTTTTCAGTGATACTAACATCAAAATAAGCCCACTGTCTCACCTGATTGAAGATTAGAGCCTGCACCTACGGATTCTCTTTAGTGGGATTACTGGAAAACCTAACAAATAGGGACAAGTTTTGTAAAAGTAAGTCAAAGAATGTCAGCACTAGAAGGGACCTCAGAGATGCAGCCCCACTGGCTTTTAAAGATCCTAAGTCTGAGACTCAGAGAGGTCACCTGGGTTGCCTCAGGACACACAGCCCAATTGATGGATGTGAATCAGTGATCAAATCTAACGTACAAATCACACTGGTGTTCCTTCTCCTAAAATGTAACGTCTAAATCAGGTCCAGTCTTCTCACCGCTCCCACCCATCCTCCTTTCTTGTATGAAATTCTTCATCGCTCTTTCTTGAAGAGTTGAGTCATTAAAACTTGAAGTTAGGGCATTCAACAAACAGGTGTCCAGACCAAGGACACGGAGCCTGAGAATGTGGATCTCCACACGCCGGCTGAGAACTCTCCAGCTCCCGCTTACAAAGTTTTCTCGGATCCTACGTTTCTCTTTCAGATCCCTGGCTGCGAGGCCAAGATGCTTGCTGTGGCCTCCGACGAAGTTCGGAGATGCCATTTCCTCATAGGAGCGTGGCCCGGGTTGGCCAGCCGCAGAGCCGAACGTCCTCAGGCCCGGCGGGGCGGCGGGGGAGGCCAGGCGCTGGGCTGGGCGGGGCGGCCCCTCGGCGCGCGACGGCCCGCCCCGGCTGCGAGAGCCGCGGGCCCGCGAGTCCCGGCGCGGAGCGAGAGGCGCGCGCGGGCCGTGGGGGCTGGGCCGAGGCGGAGCGCGAGACGGCAGCGGCGGCGGGCGCCGCGGGACCAAGCAGCGGCCCCCGCCCCCCCGAAGTCCGTCCCCGCGCGGAGCTGGGGAGCTCAGGGCGGGGAAGCCGCGGGGCCGCGCCACGTCCCTCGCCCGCCCCAGAGCGGGTTTTGCAGGCGGCTCCAGGCTGGGGGCTTTTGTGTCTGCGACTCGGGAGCGGCGAGAGCGCAGACCTCCTCCTCAGAGGGCGCTGTGAGTGCGCCGCCAGGGCCCGGCCACCCGCCTCCTGCCTCCCCTGTCAGCGGCTCCCGAGGCGGCGGCGGCGAGGAAGAAGGAGTGGGAGGAGGCGGCGGCGGCGGCGCACTAGTCCTCCGCACATGCCGGCCCCGGGCGGGGGGCCGCCCCCAGGCCGCGCTCCCGGCCGCCGCCGCTGAGCTCGGCCAGCCCCCGCACACCGCCCGGCCGCCCCGAGGCCTCGTCTTCCTCCCAAACTTTGCAAAGTCGGCCCGCGTCCCCGCCGCCCTCGGCCGCGCCTCGGCTCGGAGGCTCGCCTCGCAGCCGCAGCGGCCCCGCGAGGAGGAGGAGCCGCCGCCGCAGCATCAAAGAGACCGAATTCCCGCGGCCTGGGGGGGAGTCATGCTTTGCGGTCTGTAATGTCAGCAGAACAGGAGAAGGATCCCATTTCGCTGAAGAGAGTTCGAGGTAACCGGGAAGGGCACGGGATTGGGGGATTCGGGGTGAGTGGGGTGCGCGGGGGCCGCGTGCCCGGCCGCTGGGAGGCCACGGGGCTCTGTCCGGGCCTAACTCCGCGCAGCCCGCGCGTCCCGCCTGCGCCCCGGGGCCGAGGCTGCGTTTCGAGGCGCGCGGCCCCGGAGCCCGCTCGCCCCAGACACCCGCGCGGAGCCCTCGCCTCCGACTTTGTGTGAGGCGGCAGTTGAAGCCGCGCTCAGCATCCCTACGTACCCCGCTCGTCTCCCACCTTAGCTCGTTCGCAAGACAGCACAATAGACACCTCGAAGGGTGAGAAAGAAACACCCCCTCCCCGACAGAGACCACGAACGATGCCCACCCCCCAAAAAGTAAGTTGGGCTGCTCAAGAGTTGACGCTTTGAGGAAGGTGTACCGGGCCTTCGCGTCTCTCCCAGCCCCCTTCCCACCCTCAAAGGCAACAAATATACAGCGTTATTTTCCTTGGATTGAAGAGGAGACACTATATAAATTCAAAAGGCATTTTCTTTATGGGCTTATGGATAAGAATCAAATCACCTAAAATCAATTTTATACGTGATTGGTTTGCGTCTTCCTTGCACACTAGTTAGGAAATTTCCTGCTGCCTTACTATCGAAGAAAAATCGGAGGGAACGCCGTACCAGACAAAAGATAATGCGTGTAAGTTCACAGATGCCAAATAGCGGCTGGAAATTTGGGGGATATCCTCCAGCTTTTATTTTCAACTCTAAATGGGGTTAAGGCTGAAAGTCCCAAAGTTGAAATAACACTGTTCATTAAGCAAATATTTATTGAACATGTACTGTGTGCTGTGCACTGTTCTTGGCACTCGGGTACAACGGTGAACAAAGCAGGGAGAGTCCTCACCGGGTAGCAGTTCACACTCTAAAGAGATAATGAACGAAAGATATAGAATGTCAGATAGTAAGTGCTCTGGAGATAAACAAAGCAGGTAAAGTGGTTAGGAAATACATAAGAGGTGGAGAGGTATAGGTTATGTGTAAGAGGACTGATCTGGAAGATGTTTGAGCCAGGACCAAAGGAAGTGATAGACCAGAGCCGTATGGGTATGCGTGGGAAGAGCAGTCACAGCGAAAGGAACAGCGAGTGCAAAGGCCCTGGGTCTGGAACTTGCTGAGTGTATTCAAGGAACAGCAAAGAAGTTATGGTAACCAGCAGAGAGTGAGCAAAGGGAGAGTAGTATGAGCTGAGGAGAAAAGGTGAGAAGAGGTATATATATATTATTTATTTGAGAGGGCATGCATGCGCACAAGGGGAGGAGGGGCAGAAGGAGAGGGAGAAGCAGACTCCCCGCTGAGCAGGGGCTCAATTCAGGACTCTGAGATCATGACCTGAGCCCAAGGCAGACACTTAACTGACTAAGCCACCCAGGCACCCCAGGAATTATATTTTTAACAGGGTTTCTCTGGCTGCCCTGTGGAGAATAGACTGGGGTGAGGCTGGAAAGCTAGTTAGGAAGCTACTGCAATAATCCTTTCATCCAAACAGGATAAAGTGCTTTATAAATCAGTAAGTAGTAAGGTAAATTTCCAATTGACTTAAGAGATGTAGAGATCAAGAACCACAGTCATTCGTCTATGTTTTTGTTCCATGTGACTAGAGATTAATCCTAGAGAACCGGATTGTAACACAGTAACAATGTGTTGATGATCCAAAAGACATCACTTGTGTATTTAGGTAGAGATTGATTTTCTTAGCCATTTAAGCAAAAACATAATTTAGAGCAGAATATTGTTTTTAAGGTTTAATACCAGCATAGGTTTTCTATTGCAGCTTCCTTTTCTGTTTGTGGTTTTGAGTTGCCAAACCCTTTAAGGAATAGACCTTTCTGAAATACAGTTATTCCTCTGATATTTTTGCCATATTATTTTGCCGATTATTATAAATTACTTTGGCGTTGAAGGAAAAGAAAGATAGTTCTCAGGTTTATCAGTCTTAACCAAATGTAATTTTAAATAAAATGGATGGATATTTTACTGTAGATCAAGAGCACAGATCTATCTTTATTTTGTTCCAGCTACTGCTTTTAAGTTTGGTGCCTTAGCTGTGTGTAGTCAGCTCAGGTGTCAGCTCAAGAATATTCTGCAAGTTAAATACCAGAATAAAAGGCAAAGAAAGCACTTTTCAAAATGAAAAATCAAAATGAGGAGGAGTTTTTATAATAAGTCACTTTGTAGTGACTATAACATTAATTTTTAAAATATTTTGGATTATTTTATAAAAGGTACCAGAATATCTATATGAGTGATTCTGAAACACAATTCAGCTGAACTTGACTGCTCTGCACTTTTTGTTGTAATTTATATCCTAAGACATGCAGGATGTGGTCTTTGCAGAATACAAACTGTGAACAGTGCTTCTTAAACTGTTTACCATCTACCAATGTATACAGACAGACTTTTAAATAGTTATGTGTTTGTTTCATGTGTATTATAAAAAATATAAGTCATCAAACCTCTTGTTTAGTTTAAGGCTAAGATACACACAATTTAAATTTGAAGAAATTTAAACAAACAGTGTCACAGATGGAACTCAGATATGACAAAATTATGACAACATGACTAAGGACTTTACAGTAGTATGCTTTGTAGACCAAAAGTATCATATCCCCTGGGATATTTATTAAAAATGTAGGTTTCTGGGCCCACAGAATCAGAATTTCTGGGTGATTTCTCTACATCTTTAACAAGATCCCTTGTGTTCCTTATGCCTACTAAGGTTTGAGACCCAGTGATGGTAGACCTAGATTGAAAAGGTGAGTGGACAAGAGGAAGCTGATTTGGGGGTCTTCTAAACCTGTCCTGATATTTTAATATTAGATTCAGAATTGCTATTTAGTGGCAATGTATCTTACTCTTATTTTCTACCAGTTGTTACCATCCTCAGCCCCTCAGCCCTTGATTATAAGAAAGATCCATGAAGATAGGTACAATATCTTGGTTATCTTACTATTTCTCCCCTCATTGTTTTGCCTGCAATATATGCCAAATGAATGAATGAGTGAATACATGAAGTAACTCATTCATATATTTATGCTGATTTTTGATCGTCTATTCTCTTAAAATGTTACCTGTCATCCTTATTTTAACCAATATTCCCATTATGCAGTATTCTCAGAACTCTTAGGTGTTGATCTGATCACAATATCAATTCATTTATTCAGCAAATATTTATTGAGCAGTCATAGCACTAGACAGTGGAAATATTGATTAGGAAGACATAATACTGTTTTCAAGAAGTCTTTAGGATGCAGACAAATAAGTAGTTAGAAACAGCATGAGAAGTGCTGTGATCGTCTATAGGAAATAATGGAACCTATAACCTATCTTTAAGGGAATCAAGGAATGCCTTCTGGAGAAGTGTTCTAAGAAGTGTTCTAAGTGTTCTAAGAAGCAGTGAGTGTTCCTTTGTGGAAATGATGTAGAAAAAGCAGCAAGGACAATGGGGATGAGAAAAAGGTTTAGTAAGTCAGCAGTGGTTTTAAAAAGGCACTTCTGGGAAAAAAACACATTTTCAAGTAGTAAAAATTGAGTGATAAAAATGTGATGTAAAGAAGCATGGTGGTAGACAGAAAGACATAGCCAGTAGGTTGGAAGGATACAATTAAGAGAAAGTGTCTTTTTTTTTTTTTCTTTGAAGATAGACAAACATACTGGAAGACTTACAGAAGAACCTGAGAGGGGAGAAACTGAAAAACATCAGAAGAGAGGATAATTCATTAATAAAACATTCAATACATGTTTTTGAATATGTACCATGTGCTAAGCATTCAATGTGGGAAGCTAGAGGTGAGACAGAAAAGGCTTCTTTCTCATAAGTCACATCTCTGCAGATGAAAGAAGGGAAATAGAATGAAATGAAGAGGTAGTCATGGAGAAAAAAAGAGAGTGAAGAAAGAAATTTAGAGATGAAGAAGGAAGTTGAGCATTCATTCCAGATGAAGTGTTTTTAACCAGAGTTAGGCATGACATTGGAGATGTTGGGATGTGGTTTAGAATGGGATAATAGCATAGAGATACCATAAAAGTAGTAAAAATATACTTGTAGGCCATGTTGAGTGAGTGTATGGAGGATTTGGATTCAGACTGGAGATGAAACTTAATTTAGGTAGTCATAAAGTGGAGGGGAGGAGCCAATTGAAGTCTAAAGGAAAGATTTTAGGGGGGTTTGCTGTTTTATTTTTTAATTGGTACATATAAAGGCTAAACATTATCAGGAAAGTAGTTTGATTTTCAACACCTTGCATGAATATCCCCCTGAGGTGTTTCAGTGTGCACAATGGATATACATGGTTTGGAACTGAGGAAAGTGGGCTGAGCCAGAAATAGAGATCTGGAAGTTATCAGTAAACAAGTAAACTAATTGATGCCTTGGGAGTAGATAACTCACTCGGGACAGTGAAAAGTGAGAAGAGAAAAGCAGTGAGAAAAGCAACTTTGAAACTAGTATTTAGAAGACAAAGGGTGAAAAGAGGACTCTGAAAAACAGAATGTGAAAGAGTAGCCCGAGAGGTAGAAGGAAAAAACCGAAAGAGGAGAGTGTCACAGAAGTATAAAAGGAAGAAAAGATTTATGAGGGGAAGATAAATGAATTTTGTTTTTAGTCTGTTGATTGAAATGTATTTATCTGTGAGATGTCCATTGTGCTCTTCCTCCCACACTCCCTGTCTTGGTGAACATCATTTATCCAGTGACCCAAACCCATCTTCCACTCCCAGCCAATACTTTCCCAAAGTCCTAGAATATCTGTCTCCTTTCCACGTTTTGAACCCACCATCTCCTTGACTTTTCTATAACCACTTCTTTAGTTTAGACTTTATCTTTTTGATTATTATCATAGGCCTCTCACTGGTTTCCTGGCCTCCCGTTTTGTCCCTCTTAATCCATTTTCCACATTGCTACTGCTGATGATTAATAACTACTATCTATTGAGTACTTACCAGGCAGTTTGTT